GGTCGCGGCGTAGACAGAATGATGCCATGCTTGTCTACAAGCGTGTTAGGAAACACGCGCCATCAAACTTATTTTCAAATGAGGAGGGAAAACAGAGAGTGAAGAAGGAAAAGGCTGGAAACCAGTCAAGGCCGCTGACGCAGCTCACTGTCTCCAAATGTTGCTGTCTGTGATCACAAATATGAAAGCAAGCATTTTATTGGCTATACAGAATAGCCCCTGCTAAGTAACTTGGGCGTTCAGCACTGGACTTTCAATCGGGGACATGACTTCTAATCCTACCTTGCCTCTCTCGGCCGCGAGATGAACGGCAGCTTTGTGCTGTGGAGGTCAAACGAGGGCTCGGGGGAAATGCCCAGAAGGCAGCCAAGAAACGGGAACCTGAGGAAAACCCACATGGTGAGAAAAAGCACCATATTCAACAGGAAACTATAGCCGAGCAAGCACATTACTAAAGCAGACAGAAGGATATTGTGAATAACTTTATATTTATCTATAAAATAAGGAAGCCTAGGCTGAAAGGAATTAGAGTTCTCTGAAACTGAAAATGTCATCCTCCAAATACTCTTCTCGGCTTGTGTTTATTTATACAAAACGCGGCACTTCTGAATATCTGCATTCCAAGAAGCTGGGGATAAAGAGAAATATAGAATGAGGTGGGTGGCCAAAAAATTTAAATTTAAATATTAAGCGACTATTGTAAAAAGAGTAGCCTTAAATATACTGGTATTAAAAGAAGGCTTCTAAAATATATTATTACATTCAAAATCTTCTAGATAACATAGTTATATATGTTTTTAAATTATACATTAGTCGCGCATGTGCATGCATGTGTGTGTTCAAACATGTTTTGAAAAAACTTCTAGAAAGTCATCCCCAAAGAGAAGCTATTAGGATTGAATATTCGGGTGAAGGAAGTTATAGGAAAGAGATTTCCACATTTACATTATACGCTTTGTGCTGTATGAATTATACCTAATGAGAACACATGCATGCATTACCCTGCATCGTTTAAAAACTAATTAGAGAGAAGAAGAGGGAGAGGAGAAGAAAGGGTGGGGAGGCGGGAGGGGAGAGGAGAGCTCGGGGTACAGCCAGCGCCCGGATTCACACCAGGCCTGCTGCTTCAGAGCTCTGTGTCCGAGTATGTTAATAAGCTGCTCTCACCGGCGGTCTGTATCTATAGAACAGAAATAAAAATCGGGCCCTCACGGCCTGTCGTGAGGATTACAGAGGAAGTCTGGAAGGCACCTGGAACACAGCCAAGGTGTAATCCATTGTAATCGTTACAGGAAGAAGATAGATGCGATCATCTTGATGGGGTTTTATAGATCAATGAGACAGAGTCTTATTAGAGCCCTTCCTTACCTGGTCCAGCCTCTTCTCCTTCCCGTATGCCCACTTAGATATGAAATTGGAGAACTGGGAGGAAGGCGGAAAGACGTAATTCTGGAAGACGAAACTCCACAGTGGCAGAAGGCATGTTCCCATTCTTCTTGAAGCCACCAACCCTCTGCTCTTTCTGAGTGGTGACTTTCCGGAAAAGTGTCAGAGCTCTGTGGGTGGAGAGAGAAAGGGAGCATAGCTATTGGAAGCCTGGGGCCTTCCGAGGTGCAGATCCCAGCATCCCAGCTCAGGGCCTCTTCCCTTCAGGCCTTTCACCTTCTTCCTGCACCGGCCCTTGAGATGGACTGGCATGAAAGCACAGGGACTGGTTTGTGGCAGCTGGAACTGCAGAGGATCTCGGCCGACCATCAAGGTCAAACAGTGCACAACCTCCTTGAGCCCCTGAGGCAGCTCTGGCCGGAAAAGCAGCCCGACTGAGCAGAGAGCAGCCTAGGGTCCCTGCCTCCAGCAAACTGTCCACGTGGCTCAGAAAGGGGAATAAAAGGGCTGAAATATCAGCCTATTTAATAGACCTGATGAAAAACCGGCATTCATTGTTGTTTGGGTTTTTTGAAACCCACAGAGGAAAAGGCCCAGAGGCCCTGGGTTTCAGGGAAGCTGCGCGGATGTCTGGAGTCCTGCTGGCCTCTTCCTCTTGTTCAGGGCAGGGCCCTCAGGCATTGTGGGTCACGTCCTTGAACCCAACATTCTCAGGGTCATCTCAAGCTCACATTGTCCTTAAACAAAAATGCACTGCTTACTCCGGGCTGGTGACAGTCGGGGAGCAGGGCCGTGCTCTGCCCGCCTGCCCTGCGGTCTGGTGTGTGTACCGTGCAGCCGAGGCCCCTGCACAGTGGCACCGCCTAAGCCTGATGTCACTCCATCTGGAGCGCGGCCGGCTGGCCCGTAGGCTGTGTGTGCTCCTGTGTTTCCTTCGCGAAGCTCAAATTTTGCCATCTTCTCAGACCCAACAATGACCTTGAGATAGTACTGATGGTTGACTAATTTTTCCTCTAAAGAATTCTCTAAGTTAGGTACTATTATTTTTCACTTCTTTCAAATGAGAAAAATTGAGATCTGAGAACGGCTCAATCTACCCAAGGTCACACAGACAGAAGCAGAGCCAAGATTTGACCCTGTGTCTATATGGCATGTTTGGATGGCTTCAGACCCCAGTTCCTAATGCTACACTCCACACTCTGAGTGACAGGGAGTTAACATCCAAGTTATTTAAAGTAAAAATAATTAAAATTCTGTTACATATTTGTGTGAGAAACATAAGCCCCTCTAAATTTCACGAAGATGCCCTATGAATTACACAAATAGGTCTAGCTGAAGTGAGCTTACCACAGACACTCCAGACACTTCATCCGTACTGCCTTCTTCAGGAATGGCAAGTGGTTGCAAAGTGTCCAGCCTCCCCACATCTGAGGTTCTGTTGCATCTGCATCGACATCCAGGTCCCTGAAGGGAGTATTTCTGTGTGTCAGCATCTGGGCCCCTGCATTGGTTAAGCTAGAAATAAACCCTCCATGTGAGCGGCTTCTTAACTGGAGCTCCAGTAGACGCGAGATTACAAGATGAGCTTGGACTGAAGAAAAGTCCCTTCGACACCTTAACTTCATCATAACTAACTCTGACACTGAATTACTAAATAAATCACGGGCATATGAAGAAAGGTCTTGGGAATCTTTTTTTTGAAGTGTGGTTTCCAACTCAAGATCAAAGATGCTCACTCAGCCAGAAAATAGTCAGATTGCTAGGATTACGCTTTAAGGCAATTTTCCATCTGGTCTGCTTCCCAAAGATTAGCGAATTAATCACATGGAGTATGAATGAATGGTAGCATAAAAGTATCCTCAAACGAGAAGAGATGAGACAAAATCAGACACGAGAGCATGAGCATGACTGTAGGTGTTCTGTACCCTGAAACGCCTCTCTTACACAACGTGGGAACTTCAGAAAACAGACACAGTTTTACCTTGTGTGGATGAAGCACAACGGCAGCTGTGGCAAACCCAAGTCCCTAGTGCCTTCGTGAATATCTTCTGTCCCCACTCCCATGCCTGTGGAGAGCCGTCTTACCAGACCGGCCGGAGCTTTCTACTCAGAAGCCATCTGCTTCATCTCGGCGCTAGAGCATTTCCTTGGTGCTCTGGCAAAGAACTGGCAGTGTTTCCAGTGCTAGCCGCTCACTCACTCTCCGTCCCTGTGTGGGTACAACGAGCAGGCTTTCACTGCCAACCCAAGACGGGCATGTAAACGGAGTGAAAAATAGATTTCGTTATTTTAAGCCACTGGACTTTTGGTATTTGTTACTGCCGGATAACCTAGTCTAGCTTCACCAATAAAACAAACATCTAACTAGATCAGACAATGATGAAATGAGCAAGTGAGTAAATGAGGTCATTGTGGAACTCAATAGTTACTAATAATAGGATATCGTCTCAATAAACCCAACAGAGCACGTTAAAATATGTAATGCTAGAGGCCAGCAGGTGGCATAGTTGTCATGGCACTGGACTCCCACATGGCCAACTACTGTTCGAATCCTGGATCTGGGGGCTTGAAACATACCAGGCATGTTTGTGCATGTGCCCCAAAATCCCAAGGAGAGAACAGAGGAGAAGTATGTGCCCCAAAATCCCTTGGAGAGAACATAGGAGAAGAGATTGCAGCATGACTACCCCCCCCAGGGGGTGATTTCTTGCTTTCTTATAAGGCTACAGAACAACATCTTTCGAAGATGAAACATGGATGCACCATTGGTGAAAAATAATTACTGGTAATGATAAAAATGTGGAAGAAAAGCAGAACACTGTATTAGTCAGAATCAGCCAACAGGCTAGATTGTATGACACAGACTACACGCACATATAAACACACCCGCGCTTGGACTGAGGCTAAATTCACCATAAGGAATTGACTCACATGGTCATGGAGTCTAGGCAGTCCCACATTCTGCAGGACCAAAAGCCCAGAAGCTGGTGCTGGAAATGCCAGCCCAAGACCAAGGCCTGAGAACCAGCAGAGCCAACGGTGCGAGTCTGGGTCCACGGGCAGAGCCCATGTCCCCCGTGGTCCCCAAGGCCGATGTCATCCGCCTCCACCCACATTTGGGCTTACCATCTGTCTTACTCAGTCCATCAGTTCTAATGCTAGTCTCTTCTGGAAGCAATTTCAGAACAGGAAAGTGTTAAAGCAAATATTTAGGCATCTCGTGGCCACTCAAGTTGATGCAATGACCATCACAAAAATATAACTAAAGCGATTTTTTTCAGGCATTAGAAAGCGAAGACTTTGGGGAACAATCACCCTCTATTTATTAAGGGATATTATTAAACAAAAAAAGTAATAACAGTTTACTAGAATCACATATTAATGAACCAAGAAAAAGGAAAGCTAAAACTCTGAAACAGGGCAAAAAGGGATCAATGCAATATAAATTAAACCATTTAAAACAATCCGAGTGTTTCAAAACCAGGGAATAATTAGGTTAATTATTGTGCCTTTATTTCATGCACTGTAATGCATACCTTAAAATTACTATTTTAAAAATTAGGTAAAAGGGAAAATACATGCTACATGATCAATATGAATTCCAGAAATGTATTTCCCAAAACACAACTTTATATGAATTTTGAATATGAAACCCAGAAATATATTTCCCAAAACACAACTTTATATGAATTTTACATTTTAATTAGACAAGAAAATAAAATGCAAATAATAAAATAATAATTATTATTTTGCTAGGGTTATGGAATTAGAGATTAATACTATACTATTTATTAGAACTATAATAAGTATTTAATCTAATATGTAAATACGCAGAATCATAAACAGGGCATCTTTTATTTCCTAAAGGCTTGATTTAAATAAGACAGATTTTATGCCTAAGTACTTTTTTTTTAAGCTTTTTGTCATGGAGTACATGCACTCACCAGAGAGATAGAGAGAGGGAAAGTGAGAAATCACACCCGGGGGATGGCCACGCTACAATCTTTCCATCTCTCCTCTACTCTTCTCTTGGGATTTTGGACATGCACGCATATGCACACGGCGTGATTCTCAGCTTTGCCAGGCCAGGAACTTGAACTACCTTCAGCCATGTGGAAGTTTGGCTCCGTTACCCCACACCACCTGCTGGCCCCTAAGTACTCTTCTTAAGCACTATCATAAAGTCTAAAAATTAATAAGATTTCATTTCCAACTTTTCTCCCTATAAAAAAAGACTTATAAGCTATAACTATTATCATTTTTTCTGATTTAGAGAAATATGAAACTGCATGATTTAATTATAAAATTAATCACTTTTAAAGAAAATTACTTAGTTCAGGTGGAATCTATTTTAATCATTGCTGTAGTGCCCCCACTACTGAAGCATTGTACTTAGTACAACGTGGATATTTTTCATGGTAGGGCGGCCTCATTGCTTCAGGTCAAGATCACTTCTTTCTCTCTCTCTCTCATGCACACGCAGGAACTCTATCATGAATTACCTTTTTAAAAACTGTTCTAATAGGACCCAGGAGATGGTGTAATGGTTACATACGTGGCTCCCACATGGCCAACCACAGTTTGTCCCGAACGCCGCAGCCTGAAACTCATGCTGGGGACATGTGCGCGTGTGCCCCAAATCCTAAGAGAATGGAGAAGGGATTGCGGCTTGGCAGTTCCCACTGGGGGGTGATCTCCTGCTTCCTGTCTCTCTGTCTGTCTAGGGAGCACATGCACCCTATAGCAAAAATTTCTCTTAAAAAAAAAGTTTTTATGAGGAGTGAAGCTTGTTGACGAAACCTGAGGTCCCCAAGCCTCGGGGGCTAGATGAAGATGCCTGTGGTCTTTGTTACTGCCGCCCCATGTGCTACACCGGCTCTGTGCTTCCATCTGGAGTGGCCTATTCAGTGCCATGTCGTTACTAGCTACGGCAGAATGCGTCTCTAATGAGTCCTGAGCACACACAGTCCGTGCTGGCCGGACGCGGAGACGGACATGTGTGCTCTAAGCCGTAATGGATGGCTAGGGCCGCTGGGTAGATCACAGCCGATCACTTCGGAGCTGAGGGCTAAGTGGGGCCTCCTGTCACAACCCAGCGCCACCACGTAACTCCAATGGACGTCAGGGTCCAGCCTCGGTCACCAGGGGTGGGGTGCCTCCCGATGCTGGGAGCCATGGGAAGGCCAGGGTGGGTCCTCACGGCCGAGCGTGCCAAGCAGCACATGTGTGTCTGTGATCGGGCTGCCCGGGAGGTTAGGGGTCGAGAAACTGGAGCACAGGACCCTGCTTCGGGTGCTGTCTCTCTCTGTCCATCGCTCGTGAACAAGTAAACTGAGACAGCGTTAACAAAATTGTGAAGAAACACTTCTCGGGATGGAAGAAAATGCACTAAAATTTAACGGAATGTTACTGGCAAGCTACTTTTTTCTTCTTCATTTGTTTTTATCAATTTTCTCTAATATCTAT